GCAAAGAGAAGGAATATGAATTGGTACTTCTAAAACTTAAAGTCAAAAAGAAAATATTAAATTGAGGGAGAAAAGTACATAAAAATTCTGTTTGGAACTGCTAAGAAAGATACCCAGTTTAAGAAGAATGGAGGCAGATGATCTACAATGTACATATGAGTGGCATTAACGTAAGCACATATTTCAATATATATAATTATATTCAGAAGCTTTCATTATTCACGTGAAGGTCTCTCAAAAACATGCTTCTTTACATGTTATTTTAAAGATGGCTACCTATTCCAAATGTGGAAGATGGGGAGAGCAGCAGCTATAAAACTGGTGACACAGTGCTCAATAACAATAAATACTATTACAATAGTAAAAATAAAATTTAGGACATCTAGAAGCTTCCTCCTTGATACTAATTAAATAGCAAAATATCGAATTGTCTTCCAATTAAGTCATTTGTCTGCAATATGCCAGGCACACATTCCTTAACTCTTATAATCAATGTAACAATTCCAGGATATGAACATTATGTATATTGCAGGAAGGAGTATAATAATCAGTGAAATTTTAAATCTTACCCAAGGCCAGGCACAGTGGCTCACACCTGTAATCCCAGCACTTTGGGAGGCCAAGGCAGGTAGATTACCTGAGGTCAGGAGTTTGAGACCAGCCTGGCCAACATGGTGAAATCCTGTCTCTACTAAATATAAAAAAATTAGCCAGGTGTGACGACGTACGCCTGTAATGCCATCTACTTGGGAGGCTGAGGCACGAGAATCACTTGAACCTGGGAGGCGGAGGTTACAGTAAGCTAAGATCACAACACTGCACTCCAGCCTGGGAAGGGGAGAAAGGCCTTGTCTCAGGAAAAAAAAAAAAAAATCTCACCCAAGATAAATTAAGAAGTGGTGGCACTGTTATTTAAACCCAAGACAATCCTATTCCAAATCCTTGCACTTTTTATACAATGCTATTAATATATTGCCTCTCAATATTCAATGTGTTGCCACCAGTGTATGAATGAATGAGACTCATTATTTCATTTAATTCCTGTAATACTCTTGCAAGGTAACTATTAGCAACTTTTTTTTTTTTCATTTAAGAAAAAAAGACTTTGAACAGTTAAGTAACTTGGCCAACGTCCTACAGCCAACTTAGTAACAGGACAAGCAGGGATCCTACCCTAAGTCTGCTTGATACAACGCCTAGGTTTCTACCATTGCATTACACAGCCTCCACCTTACAGTATTTACAATAATTATAATTTATGCATAATTTATAAATTATTAATTTACTGTTGACAATGCTACATAAAAATGCATGTTATTAACAACAAACTTAAAATGTGTATTTTATATTTTTTCAGAAAAAAAACTGGAAAAATACATAAGGAAAAAAATTTTATAATATTTATGAGTGATAAGATTACTGATAAATTTTTTATTTCTCTTTGTCTGGTTTTTCCTTAATTATGATATATAACTTACCAAAAGTTCATTATTTTCTTAGCATTCATTTAACATTTCATATTATTAGTTATGCCTATCTGCCTTAATTAAATATAATTTTTGCTAAAAATATTGGGTTAGGCCAGGCGCAGTGGCTCATGCCTGTAATACCAGCACTCTGGTGGGTGGATCATGACGTCAAGAGATTGAGACCATCTTGGTCAACATGGTGAAACCCCAACGCTACTAAAAATACAAAAATTAGCTGGATGTGGTGGTATAAGCCTGTAGTCCCAGCTACTCAGGATGCTGAGGCAGGAGAATCGCTTGAACCTGGAAGACGGAGGTTGCAGTGAGCCAAGATCATGCCATTGCACTCCAGCCTGGCAACAAAGTGAGACTCCATCTCAAAAAAAAAAAAATTGGGTTAAATGGTAACATTACCTGAGGAAAGTAATATAAAGAAAAATGTTTTAGAGCATACACAAAAAAAGCTACATTTCAGGACAGATATGTGTCTTTCTGTTTTCTGGAACCTATCAAAACTAAATTCTGATTGTAAAACATGATAATGTTTAATATCACTGCAGAGCTTAACAAACAGATGAACACAAAGAAAAATATGTCATACAATTGAATTAGACAGTTGTTAAGTAACACCAAAAAAAGAAAAAGGCGGCCTTTTTCTATTTATCCAAAAGAGAATAAAGTAAAAGAGAGGTATTCAGAATCCCATTAACTTGAAGGTAATGTTCAAGGAAAATTACTAAAACCAGCCAAGTCAATGTAACTTGAGAAGAACACCCTTAGAAACTACAGCACAAAACATTTTCAAAAAAAACTGTCAGTTTTAGTGACTCTTCGGGCATTTGAGCAGATTAACAGTAATCTGAACAGACTAGTTAGTGGCTCTGAAATGCTGTTTAAGCTAAACAACAAATCAGACCATGAATGCCCACATTCCATCAAATTTACTTTTAAAAATGTATACTCTTCTCATTTTGTTCCGTGATCCTATATCATGTTCACTAAACCTCTTTGGAAGTACTGCTCCTTCAAGTGCAACCTGAAAATGGGAGGTGCATAAATTTCATTTCCCTAAAGGAAACCACCACTCAACTACTCACTGCATAATCTGACAAGAATTTAGCATTTGTCTTAGAAGCAATCAAGTAATATGCACTCCAACAGAAGCACAGGATCAGTATGGCAGAAAACGGGAGCTTCAACTTTTTCCAAAAATTGTTTTAAGACCTGAAGCAAACATGACAACACATTAAGATCTGATGAAGCTGGAAGGCACTGTATTATTCCTTATCCTTTCCAGTTTGTTTGAAATATTTTAAAATTAAAAACAGTAATAATGTTTACTATGCATAGGTTAATGCAACACTCATTCCTCCTAAGTTCGAATCAATTAAAACACACACACACAATCTCAACATCCCTCCAGCCTTATTTATGCTACTTGACCACCCAAGGCAGCCACGTTGACATGAATACCAAACATTTCCCAAGATTCAACTTGCTCCTTTGCAAAACATGAATTCAAAAAAAGTGCCATATGATAGGATAAAAAAAAAAGTATGTAATTATGCCAAAAATAGTCATAAGTCCCCTAAGATGGTTTACATGGATGCCTTCAATCTACTTCTAAAATGAAAATAAGTAGGTTTACTTCTTGAAATGGCACAATTCCAGAACAGACACTCCTAATCCCCCAAAGGAAAGCAGAGGTTCTCAAGGCACCTTGCAAAGTGTGCTACCTACTTTTCACACCAGAAAAGTCACCTTTGGTAATAAGATGACAAGAAGATCTATTAATAACAAGCTCAGACCTTTAAAAAGTGAGTTCTTGGGCTGGGTCTGGTGGCTCAGCTATGCCTATCATCCCAGCACTTTGGGAGGTGAAGTCAGGCAGGCAGATGGAGCCCAGGAGTTTGAGAACAGCCTGGGCAACACAGTGAAATCCCAATTCTAAAAAAAAAATTTTAAACACTCTTTGTGAGGCCAAGGAGGCTGGATCACTTGAGGTCAGGAGTTAAGAGATTAGCCTAGCCAACATGGTGAAACCCCATCTCTACTAAAAATACAAAAATTATCCAAGTGTCATGGTACGTGCCTATAATCCCAACTATTCAGGATGCTGAGGCAGGAGAATCACTTGAACCCGGGAGGTGGAGGTTGCAAAGAATTGAGACTGCACCACTGCACTCCAGCCTGGGGGACAGAGAGAGCAACTTAAAAAATAAAAATAAAAAAAGTTTGGTGGTTTACACCTGTAATCCCAGCACTTTGGGAGGCAGAGAAAGGAGGATGGTTTGAGGCCGAGGATTCAAGAACAGCCTAAACAACATAGCAAGGCCCTATCTCTACAAAAAAAAATAATTCTAAACCCTAGCCAGGAATGGTGGTATGCACCTGTGGTTCAAGCTACTCAGAAGGCTAAGGTGTCAGGATTGCGAAGCCCAGGGATTTGGGGTTGCAGTGACCTGTGATGGTACCACTCCACCCCAGCCCAGGCAACAGAGCAAAACCCTGTTTCAAAAATAACAACAATAAAAGTGCATTCTTAACTCTCTTCTCACTGAAAGAACCACAGTCCACATTTGTATGGTACTTTTGACTACATGGGCAAAGGGCACTAAGTGGAAACTGCTATCATTTATAGGAAACAGATGGGGTGAATAATACATCATCAACTGCCTCCCTCTTCCCTTCACTAGAATTTAAGAAACATTCGGTTAGTGACAAAACAAAAACTTGAAAAACAGAAGTTCACATCTGAAACAGGACTTGAATATGCATCAAGGAACATGTTATGAGCATCATAGTGGTTAGTCCTAAATGACATGATTTCAGCTGTATGTTTCCTTATTCTCAAAAATAAGTGCTGTACTTGCCACTCCTCACTCAATGAAAGCTAAGATCTGCACCCTCACCAGCCAAACAGGTTAGATTTTAATTAAGGTACAATTACTACTTCAGAGTATGTATTTACTTTAATGCAAACACGTATGAAATGTCTATTGGGTATAAGGTTCTGAGCAAAAAGTTGTGGAGCTCCAAAGATCACAATGATCTTGACCCTCCTTTTGAAAAGTTCACAACCTAATTCGCAAGGAAGGATATGTAAAAACAACAATAACACAAAGTTTAAGTAGGTACCACTTGAAGGACAGCAAAAGAACAGTAAGTTCTACTTTGGCCTTACTATCCACCTGGTGTCTGTCATCTAGCTTTGGCCTCACCTTCAGAAAGCCAGGGAACTCAGATGCCTACTTCAACATCATTTCTGGCATCCATGAACTTGTGTGCTATCAACCATCATAATATTATAAGGATGACCATCAAATCTCAGCATCCCAAGAGTGTCAATTATTCACTACACAAGGCATGTCAATCGGAGTCACTGATGATGTTGAATATCTACTTTTAAATACAGGGAATATATTCAGCTGAATGAAACTTGGAGGACTTGTAATTCTATCAGGTAGATTAAGTAGAAGTGAGTACTGTATTTATTAATGCAAAAGAAAATGCCACAATTCTTTCTTGGTTCCACTCAGACCCAAAGTATCAACATTTACTAGGTGAACTGCTGTTGACAAAAAGTACTGCCATCATTGTAGTGAAAACATAATTTTATGTAAAAAAAAAAAAATGTACAGAACTTTCAAATAATACCTAAATTGGAACATAACCTCCAAAAATTAATCTAAAGAAATGCAATTACATTTTAGTTATTTAATTTCAGTTAGGCCATCAACCTCTCAAGAAAAAAAGAAACTCTATGCAGGAATCTGTCACATCTTATAAAGGTCAATTAAAAGTACAACACAAACCTTGCCACCTAAGATGCTAAAAATGCCTCACTGTGTACTTACATAAGACGTACAAACAAGATGAAATAGTGGCTTTTGTGATTAAAAGCCTCCTGAACAAAAGGAAGTCTAAATACCATACTTGGCAAATAATACTAACAAAGCACCACTCCACTAACAACCAAATTGGAAAGAAAATAGTTCATTTGCTGGAACCAACTAGAAGGACAAGGAGAGAGACTGAGGGATTGGCACTGGAAGGCTGGAACCATTCCATGAAGTTTTTGAATGACCTGCTCAGGAGCTTAGCTTAGCCTGAAGGCAGTGAGCAGCTACCAAAAGGTTTATTAGAAATTGCCAGAATCAAAACCATATGTGCTTGTATATATTTGTGTACACACACACACACACACACACACACACCCCTTATTCCCTGACCCCCCCCCCAAAAAAACTTTAATAGTATTGTGAAAGACAGCCTGAAAGAGGAAAGATACTGAATAAAGAAATACTAGTAATAAGATTGATTGCTGCAATTTTTGAGGTGAGACACGACTGGAGACTGAACTAGGGTAGTGGGAATAAAGAAAGTAATGAATGTAAGAGAGACTTAAGAGATAAAACTGACCACACAGAGAAAACAATCATATGTCATGATAGAGAAAAATGGGATCAAAGTCTACTAAAATCCTTATCTTGAAGGACTGGAGGAGATGGCAGTACTGTTGTCCAAAGTAAGAAATTGCACCATCATAAAATAAACACACTATTCTCAAAAATAGTATTTCTAGCAAGATAACATTTGACTGACCTTTAAAGTTATTAATAGTTAAATTCAATAGTCAGAAATCATCCACAGAGGCCAGTCCTAGAAAGAGACTCAGCTCTAAATGGGCATTTTGAAATTTGTCCATTTTGTTTACCTTAAACAGGTCAGTAAATAATTTATCAAAAAATATGAGATACTCTACAGAAGAAACATTCCACAAATGGAACTCAAGAGTCACCATAATGAATACCATTTGCTCAATGAATTTTATAATAGAATCTAATTTTAATGCTCTTAATGAGTTTCAGCATCAACTCATTATATGGCATTTTAAGGTATAGTAAACCTTTTTAAATGACACATGTAGCATAATATAACATACGGTAAACTATTAACAATGCTACTCAAAACAATATAAAATTATAGATATGCAATGTAATTTAGGGTTAGTGCCTAACATGAGAGTCAAAGAAAATTTTAGCAAAAAGAAATTATACCAATTTTACCATATCACTTCCTTAGTATTCAACCTCAGTTGACAACTTGGACCAAAACTGCTTTGCAGAACATGCTGGTTTCTAAAGATTAACAGACTGATCCTGAACTGAGAAAAACACACAAACCCAAGTCAACAAGTCAAAGTACAAGAGTAAATGAACAAGCTGGGGACAATAGTTGGCCAGGAGCATAAAAATTAGGTAAAAAAATAAGTGGGGCAAAAGAAACTAACACATTTTGAGGGTCTGCTAAAAGCGTGGCACTGGGCGGAGAAACCCAGTAAACTGATTCCAGAACCCAGACACTCCCCTTTACCCCAAACTGACTATATAATGAGTCTTTAGATAATTGGGCATAACTTCAAGAGAGCAGAGAAGGCTTGGTAACCAGCATATTCACAGGATCCAGAACAGAGTAAGTCCTCAATAAATATTTGCTAGATGCAGGAATTAATGGACAAATGGATAGATGGCTGAAGGATGGACTTTATTTTACATAATCTGGATCATGCATACAGAAGGAGATTTTGACATCTTAAGCAAGAGAGGACAAGAAATGTTCTCCAAGCTACTATGTTGCCTTCTCTAAGGAGCACAGGACATCACAGTAGAGTGTAAAAGGCATGAATTCCATTACCAGACCTGGAAGGGAGGCCAAGTTTCAGACTTACCCTTACTGTGTCCCTCGGGCAAGTTACTACTCTGTGGCTGAAATATGTAGACTAATTCCTTACTGTGTCCCTGGGGCATGTTACTACTCTGTGGCTGAAATATGTAGACTAATTCCTTAGTCTTGAACTTGTAAAAAGCCTTAACTAAAATAACACATACAGAGTTTCTAGCAAGTACCTGGTGCATAGTTTTCATGCTTAATAAATATAAATCCCTCCATATAGGGGCCAAGGGAAACAACACTGGTGCTGATACAGCTCTGGTCTTAAAGATAAAGTCCACGAGAGGAGTCTTACTGAAAGGAATCCTAGTGTGGACTAAAGCAGGACCAGCTCTTGAGTTTTCAAGAGACAGAGCCTTGCTCTGCCACACAGGCTGGAGCACAGCAGCACAATCATAGCTCACTGCAGTCTCAAATTCTTGGGATTCAAATGATCCTTCCACCTCAGCCTCCCCAGTATCTAGGGCTGCGGGGAAGCCCCACTGCACCCGACTAATTGTTTTTTTATTTTTTGTAGAGACAGGGTCTTGCTATGTTGCCCTGGCTGTCTGACATTCCTAGTCTCAAGTGATCGTCCTGCCTCAGCATCCCAAAATGTTAGGATTACAGGCATGGCCACTACACCCAGCCTTTGAGTCATTTTTAACCATCGATCCCAAAGCCTCACTTATCATATTATGTTAGCAGCATAAACAGTCATAGTATGAGCTTATGTAGAACTCAGAAAGGAAACTGGACTCTGCCAGTCCAGTGAAAAACAAAACACCACATGCTCTGTGCCTGACAATTTCACACTTGCCAAAACTATGCATATTTTTTGTTATTATGTCACAGCTTCTTTCTTGAAAATATTTGAAGCATATTTTGTAGATCTGATGAAATTATGAATCATTACAAACTCTTTTTAAGAAAAATTTCCTAAGGGCCCTCTCCAAACTAAGAGACCAAAATAACTGCACATTTGACTATAATTATGCCTTTATACATTTTCTCTTTCTTATTTCAATAGCATCATATTATATAATGCAGCCTCATTATTAAACATGACAATAATACCCAAACTTTTTATCCATAATTGAAACCATGAAAAAAATTTTTTAACAAGCTCTAATATAGTTTCTTCTTTTGTATTAGTATTAAAACAAATCACATAAATTATTTTAACTATCTTCCTTCTTACTACTTATCTGTCAGGTGAAGTAAATAGCAGGTTTTCTTAAGTTTACCTTAACTTTAGATGGTACCTTGGGCACATTATTCAACTATAAACTTCAGGTATGTCTACAATGTTTTTTGCAACAGGAATTCACACATACTTAATTCAAACATGATTCCAAATCACTAAACTCAAATACACAGTTAAACAGTTTGTTTTGGGATGAGCTCATTTTATTCACTGCTGATTTGAAATGAACATTACAATGGATGTATACACCAGGAGAGACTGGAGAATAGGTGAATAGGTCTGAACAGAGGAAGACGGTCACATCAGAAACATTTCTCAGGGAAAACAGTTCTCTCTTATGAACAAGATCTGAGTATCATTCAAGTCTAGAGAATAATACATAAATGGAAGAGGAGATCAATGACATAATATTCTGATAATTTCAAACCATATAACAAACCATTTTCTAAGCTACAAAATAATAGTAGCGGGGGTTCCAGTTAATGAATGGACATTTGGAAATTAATGCTGTATCATTAAATGGTGAATGGAGAAATTTAAACTATTTATTGTAACAGGAGAGGCACACCCTATTTGATTAGAATCAGCCAGAAGCTATGAGAAAAAGGATGAGTGTCCAGTAGAACAACTCTCTGAAGAGATCTAGGCTGATATGTTGGCAGGTGATGAAGAACAAAATTTGGGTAGCAAGTCTTGAGCTCCAATTGCAGGCACACCTGATCGGCTTCAACACCTTCCTCCACCCTTGCTGGCATACATCCTGAGACACTTTCTGAAGATAACAATGCTGCCCTAGCAATCTACCCAGCTAGGAACAGGATTTGCTCATTCTACTATCAAATACTTGTCTGCCTGAAAATTTACTTCCTATTGTTTGTTAAAGAGTGAGACTTTCTAGTACACATCAATGTTCAAAAAAATCTATTTAAGCGTATCAGATTTTCCAGGATCTGCTCAGCCCCAGATAATCAGACCACCGGTGTTACTGAACTACAAAGCCATTATTATTATTATTATTTTTAGAGATGGGGTCTTGCTGTGTCACCCAGTTTGGAATGCAGTGGCATGATCATGGCTCACTACAGTCTTGACCTCATAAGCTTAAGTGATCCTCCCATCTCGGCCTCCCAAGCAGCTGGGACTTCAGTTACATGCCACCAATCCCGGCTAAAGTTTTTTTTGGTAGAATTGGGGGAAGATACAGACTGGGTTTTGCTATCTTGCCCACACTGGTCTTGAACTTCTGGCCGTATGCGATCCTCCTGCCTCGGCCTCCCAAAATGCTGAGATTACAGGCATGAGCCACCATGCCCAGCCACAAAGCTATTATTAAAGCAAGTCCTGCTAGCATAAATATGGTCCAATAACATTTTATAAATCAGCTTTGGCAAACTATGAGCTCCACAACATATCAGAACACAATCTGTTCTTTAATTGCCCATAGTGTACACCCAATTTAATTTGGAACATTTCTTACCACAGATTTCCTGCACTCTCAAATGCATATTAATATCATCTTTCTGTAAATGCCTATCACTTCTTTACAAAATTATTTTACCCTTTTTAGAACTAAGATGTATTTCTTATTGAAAATATGATTATAGTAACTTGGTAATTTTTAATGAGTATTATTAAAAGAAAGTAATCCAAAATACAACATGGTCTTGTAGAAACTAGGAATGC